TAAAAAAAAAAAAAAAAAATTGGCCACTGAAAATCTTATGAATAACAGTGTAACACTGCCTGATATATTATTAAGACCAGGCAGTGTTTCGTTCTTTCACAGATAGGGTTACTATGAGTCAAAGCCAAGTCAACAGCACCTAAAAACCACAACACAAGTATACTGGTACAGGAGTAGGTACAACTGTGTACATAGGTGAGATCAGATATCTACAGGTAATTAGAAGTATATGGATGTAGTCAAAGATATTCACTGAAGACACAAATACGGATACTCCTCAGACATAATCAAACTCCCTCCTACACTGGTCTTCTGGGTTTGATGCCTTAGGACCATATCTCATGGGACAACTTAGTCAACTGGCATAACATAAAACCAAATCCACTGCCACTGAGGTGATTCCAACTAGTTTTGACCCAGTAGGACAGAGTAGAATTGCCTCTTATGTTTCCAAGGTTGTACATCTTTATGGAAGTAGACAGTCTCATCTTTCTCCCATGGAATGGCTGATGTGTTTGAATCACTGAACTTTTCGTTATCAGCCAAATGCTTTAATCATTGTGCCACCAGAGCTCCTTTGGCATAATAACACAGTTCACAAAAATCAGGATATATTCTAGTAAAGTGATTGGGATCTTAAAAGCTTGTGAGCGGCCATTTGAGACATAATTATAGGTCTCTACTCTCCAGGAACAAACACTAAGAAGGTAACCCAAAAGCTCAAAGAAACTAGTCTACATGAGCCACTGACATTTCTGACTGGGGTCACAATAGTGGATACCAGTTAGAATGGGAGAAAAAATGGAACAGAACTCAAATTCTTATTAAAAAAAAAAAAAAAAAAGCCAGACAAGCTGGAATAGTAGAGAACAGAAGACTCCCTAAGACTATCACTCTGACACTCTTTAAACCTAAAACTAAGCTTCTACCACGAGATCACCTTTTAGTGAAGCAGCAGAGTGCCATACAAAACAAAGGATATAATGGATAAGAACGGTGCCCTATTTAAGAACATCAGTATAAGACCAAAAGGTCAACAATTACTCAAAAGCAAAGATGAGAGAGGATAAGGTGGGCAGGGAAACTAGAGCACTAGACAGGGAACGAACTGAACACAATTTATTAAAGAGAATGTTGAAACACTGTGATAAATGTAATTAATGTCATTGAACAATTTGTGTGGAAACTGTCAAATGGGAACCTAACTTGTACACATTTTCACCACAAACTCAATAAAATATTACTGGAAGAAAGAAAGATAGAAACCAAACAATGTATTGCATTGAACAAATTTGCTCCAAAAGACCTCTTGAGATATTAAAAGGCAAAGATGTCACCTAAACGACTAAGGTGTGTCTGAGCCAAGCCTTGGTATTTTCCATCACCTCATAAGCATGTGAAATTTCGACAATGAATAAGAAAGACTGAAGAAGAATTAAGGAGTGCAGGTGGTGCAGTTCACTGACATGGAGTGGATCCAACTCATAGCGACCCCTCCTTGGGTTTCTATGGAAGTACACTGTCCAGTCTTCCTTCCATGGAGTGGCTGGTAGGTTTGAATGGCCAGCCTTTTTGGTTTTGGTGGTGCAGTGGTTAAGCCATTTGGTTCTTAACCGAAAGGTCAATGGTTCAAACTCACCAGTGCTCCACGAAAAAAAGATGGGACAATCTGCTTTCATAAAGATTTATAGTCCACTGCGTAATGGGGGAAGCTATCAGTCGTGAACAACTCAATGGCAGTGAGTTTGGTTTTGGTTTTGAAGAATTGATGACTTTGAATTACAGCATTGGAGAAAAATAGTGACTATACCATGGACTATCAGAAGAACAAATATATCTGTCTTGGAAGTACAGCCAGAATGCTCTTTAGAAGAGAGGAAGGCAAGACTTCATTTCATATACTTTGGATGTGATATTAGGAGGGACCAATTTCTGGAAAAGGACATCATGCTTGGTTAAGTAGAGGGTCAGCAAAAGAGAAAGACCCCTAATGAGATGGATTAACACAGTGGCTGCAACAATGGGAACATAGCAACAATTGTGAAAATGGTGCAGGACCAGGCAGTGTGTCATTCTGTTGCACACAGGGTCTCTATGAGTCAGAACTGACTCCATAGTACCTAACAACAAAATAACAATTATGGCCTCATTTTTTTCCTTCTGCTGCTCTGTTTATAATTTTCATTACAACGTTACTTATTAATCAATAAAATATACCTAGATTTATACAACACTAGAGTATTTCCAAAGAAAACAAGCATATATTACTTGATGGCAATGAGTTTGTTTTTTTAGTTTTACTTTAGTACATGTGTTTACATAAATATATTCCACTTTGAAATGTAGAGGGATTAAAAAAAATGAAGAACCAGATTTGCCTTACTGTGATTCTATTAACAATTCTGTAACAGATAATATCATCCAAGAAATTTTTCTTAGAATACACACACAAACATATCCAAACATATATACAATGTTACTAGAGAGAGATGAAAAAAGCATGTGTTAAGATTTCTTTCTTGATCAAAATCGTCAGAATAACTTGTTTCTTCAGAATACATATACCAAGTTTTTCTCTGTATATAACAGTACTTATATATAACTTATATATAATGGCACTTATATAACTGTACTTTGGGAAAAATGTTTTTACTAACAATTTGGGGGAATATTTTTAAATTGAAAATAAACTGAAAACCACCTACAAGCTGAAATACTGGTATTTCAGTGAAAGGGTGAGAAGTAATTCATACATATTAATTCATCAACTACTTGACTCTGAGGGGGCTCTGGTAGCATAGTGTCTAAGGCACTTGACTGCTCACCAGAAGGCTGGCGGTTCAAACCCACCAGCCACTCCTCGGAAGGAAGGTTGGGCAATCCTACTTCCGTAGTGATACTGCCTCGGAAACCCAAGGAGGGGTCGCTATGAGTCGGGGCCGACTCGACGGCAAAACAACAACAACAACAACAACTTGACTCTGAGGCTAAGGATTAAACTCAGATCAGAATATAAAAATGGAATTTGATCTCTGTATGAATATTTGAATTTTACCTTGAACTTGTTCAGAACATCTCTCTTTGGCCTTCTCTCTCATTATTTTAGGAATCAAAACATCTTTTTCAACATGTCTGAGATGCTGTTCTAAAAAGAAAAAAAAAGATTTTTCTTTAATGTAGTAAAATTTGATAGTTCAACTTACAAAAATAACATATCTCTATTTTTGAAAACGTTAAGTCTCAAGTAAATCACCAGATTAAGAAAACAAGCATTCTAACTTACTTAAAATAAAAGCCCATATAAAGATATTAAAAATTTACTCTTTAAACCTGATAAAATTGTGAATCTTTCAATCACTGAAAATCAGTCTAAATAATCTTTGAAACATAATAGAAAAAAAAAAAAAAAAGGAGTCCCTGAGTGACATAAATGGTTAAGCATTCGACTACTAGAAGAAAGGTTGACAGTTTAAACCCACCAAGAGGCACCTTGGAAGAGAGACTTGGAGCTCTGCTTCTACACTACAAAGGTCACAACCATGATAACCCTATGGAGCACAGTTCCTCTCTACACACATGGGGTCACCCTGAGTCAGAACTGACTTGATGGCGCATAGCAAGAACAATAGAAAAACATGAGGGATGCAGGCAACATCCTTCTAAAAATTTCTTCAAAAAATTCTATAAAACTTTTACGTGGTAACATATTCCATGTAATCTTATCAAAAAAATGTCAGTCAAGTGAGGTTTTTGTGCATTTTAAACACAACTACCATAGTGAGACTAAGATGGCTGATTGCGCACCTGCTTCTTAACTACACAGCTCTGAAAAACAAAGAAGGAGGTATTCTCAGGAAGCCAAAATAATGAGAAATCTCTGAAAGACAAAAGGCAGACGGATCAGATTAAAAGAGGTAACTTAAGCCCCAAAGAGGAACAGGAAAAAAGTGATGCCACAAATGGATGCTCCATACTCTGAAGCAGCCCATATAAGGAGCAAGATGCTACCCTTGAATGAAACAAAGGGTTGATGGTTGAAGTACCTCAGTAGATGAACAAAGCTGTCTTGGAAGAAGTACAGCCAGAATGCTCCCTAGAACCAAGGATGGAGAGACCATCTTACATACAAGACCATCTTACGGACTTTGGACATGTTATCAAGAGGGAACAAAAAGACATCATCCTCAGTGAAGCAGAGGATCAATGAAAAAGGGGAAGACCTTCAAAAAGACAGATGGACACCGTGGCTACAAAAGTGATTGTGCTGCAGAATGATTGTAAGGATGGTGCAGGACAGGGCAGTGTTTTGTTCTGTTAGACACAGCAGGACCCAAATGGGTCACCTCCTCTGCTGCCTTTAGACCACAGGTCATAGATGCAAATATGGGTATTTGTCCCCCAAAAGACCAGGCAGTTTGCTACTATCCAGTGACACACTAACTTCTCCTGGTTTCATCATTCCCAGCAGCCTCTGAATAATAAGCAGCTATGAGTACTTGCACAGAAGATAACAGGGCATTTCAAAACACAAACAAAATCAACAGCAACAAAACAACAGCCAAAATTCACTCAAATTTGATCAAACACACTGAAAGGGAGGAACTAAAAGCAATTAATCAAAAAGTAGCTGGCTCTCAAGTAAAGAGAATTAAAAGGTATAAGAAACACAACATTAGAATAGGTTTAATAAATATGCTAGACAAATAAAAACACATTAAGTCATTAGAAAGAAATGGATCACGAATTACAGAAACACACTTTGATGAAATGCCTCAAATTCAAAAATGTTAAAAGCTGCAAAAGGGAAAATTACTATGCACCAAAGGAATGAGAATCAGATTTACATCATGCCCCATGCCCCACTAGCAAGACACAAGTGCAGAAGACAAAAGACTAATTAAACTTAGTGATTTAAACCAGTAAACATTTTATTATATTTATAAATTTTATAGGTCAGAAATCAAAAGATAAAGCAGAATTGACCTTCAAAAAGTCTAGGGCCTCATTTCGGAAGACCTGAATGTCTCATGTTGACTAAAACAGCTATGGAAGCTGGAGTTAAAAGATCTGCTTCTAATTTTGCTTCTAAAATCTGCATCTGCCATGTGGGCTGGCAGCTAAATAACAGTCTCAATGAGGTGTTAAACCAGAGCTCCTATGCATGGCCTCACCATTTGGTTTGGCTTCTCACAGTGGCAGGTGATTTCTGAAAGGAAGAAGGAATGTCTGCAGAGAAAACATTTAAGATAACCAGGTGAAAACTATGTGGCCTTTTATGATTAGTCATGGAAGTCAAAGAACATCACTCCTGCCACATTCTACTGATTTCAAGTCACTTTAGAATCAACCCTTATGGCAAGGCCACATTACAGAAGAGTATGAGGGATAGGAGATAACATTGTGATATTCTTTGTAAAATAAATCTGTCACAACAAAATAAGAGAATAGAAGGAGTTCCAACAAGATGGCGGACTAGGCAGAAAAGACCGCACAGATGCTCTTCAACAAAGAAAAGGGAAACCAATAAACACAGACACAGAAGATAATCCCGGACCCCTGAGCCTTCAAGGGAAGGATATAGAAGTGGACTAAACCCCAACTAGCAGAAAAATTTGCATGAAAATACCAAAAAAGGAGACATACGGAGCTGCAGTCTGACAGCAGTCCTGAGCGATTGACAGCACAAACAGGTTGGAGATTCCTGAGTGCTGGTAGGACTTAAGAATTAACCTGAAAATCAGCCCTGCTAGCCAGGGACTGCACAAAGGACTGTACACAGTGGCTGGGGAACAAACGGAGAAGGTGAAGAGAAAAGTAAGCTGAGCTGTGGACTTTTGCCAGTCCAGAGAGAGCCGCCATTTTGAAGGTTTAAAAAGCGACTTGACTATTTTGGATATTTAACGAGACAGCACGCTCACAGATTCCTGGGACTTAAGAACACGTTCTGCTTTCCAGCAACCCCAAGGACACTCGGGACCTTCAAGATTGAAAAGGTACAACATTACCCTCGTTACTCTTATACCCCACACCCACTTGGTGAACGGAGGTGTGGCCATCCCCCACTCCTACCTACCTTCTGGGCTTACAGAACTCCATCATAGTCTGTGTGATTAGAAGAAGTCTGGATGCCCTGCACTGTCCTCCACCGATTTTTTTTATTATCTCTTTTTTTATTTCTATTTTTTTCTTTTTTGCTTTTTTTTTCTGGTGATTAGTTTGCTTGTACTTGACTGTTTTAAAACAACCATTATTATTAACATTTTTTTCCTTTTTTAATTTTCCTCTCACAGATCCTAGTTTTCAGCATTTTTTCTTTTCCCGGTTCCTGGATGAAAATTTTTTTTTTTTAAGTTGTTTTTTTCCCCTCTTTTTTCTCGTGGTTAACCATTCATTCCTTATTTTTCATTTTGCATTTTTCCCACTTTTTTTTTCCTTCATTATTGTCCTTCTCTAGTTTTATTATGTTAATGCCCTAGCCAAGATATTGCAGGTTTTCTTGTTTTTTCTTCTTCGTTTTCCCTTTTTTCTTTTGTGGTTATTGTTCCTGTATGATTACATGGCGTGTTCTTTTCTCCATGTCCTTTTAGTTTTTTGAAGGTTATTCAATTGTAATTTGTATATAATTGAGTGGGAGACAAAAACAGTCTCCGTAAGACAGAACTACACCCACACCTCCTGCAACTTCACTTACTGAGAGCCACTACCTCCTTCTCCACCAATGGGCCAATGATAAAAAAACAACAAGAAGAGCCTGAATCACCCTTGGCTGTTCTTCACAAACAGTTAACAGAGCTCTAAATACAACAACATCACGATGCCTCGAAAACAACAGACCACAACAGTCCACACAAAGAAGCAGAATAAAGTGGTAGAAAAGAGGAAGCAGGATACAGACCCAGAACACATCCCTGAGGAAGAAGTAGCATTGGAACTCTCTCATAGGGAATTCAAAAGAATTATCTTTAAGTATCTTCAAAGGATTGAGAAACAGACCAAAGAAAACA